CCAAGGACAATCGGTAAGGCGTATAGGGCATGGCAGGCCTTTCGGTATGTCTCTCACGTTCAGACGTTCTCCAGTTCCATCGATCCATAAATTCCCTGTGTATCGCAAACATGAGAACACTTACTCAGCAAAGCGGAGTCCGCTCAGCGCAACTCACCCGAAAGGTTTGGTCGAAATCGAAACGGAGCGCAGCGGCTCGTGAACGACATTTTTGCTATTTCAACATGTGTGTGTGACATCGCAGGTTCCGCAGTTAGTGGAATCTCAGGATTGTGAGTGCACTACTCAGTCCTACTAAGAGCCAAATTGGTTCTCGCGATTTGTTCTACTCGGAGTTATTTCGGTTGTGCCAATTTGTCCACAGGAGTACCTCGAAGCAATTGATTAAACTTGGACATATCTCGAGATGGCATAGTTTCTCCCATCCAGGGAAATTGATTGTACTAGGGCATATCTATGGGTGCCATAGTTGCCCCATAGGGAGGAATTGACTGTACTAGGGCATATCTTGGGGTGGCATAGTTGCCCCATCGGGAGGAATTGACTGTACTAGGGCATATCTTGGGGTGGCATAGTTGCCCCATCGGGAGAAATTGACTGTACTAGGGCTTATCTTGAGGTGGCATAGTTGTCCCATCGGGAGAAATTGACTGTACTTGAGCATATCTTGGGGTGGCATAGTTGCCCCATCGGGAGAAATTGACTGTACTAGGCCATATCTTGGGGTGGCATAGTTGCCCCATCGGGAGAAATTGACTGTACTAGGGCGTATCTTGGGGTGGCATAGTTGCCCCATCGGGAGAAATTGACTGTACTAGGGCATATCTTGGGGTGGCATAGTTGCCACATCGGGAGAAATTGACTGTACTAGGGCATATCTTGGGGTGGCATAGTTGCCCTCGGGAGAAATTGACTGTACTAGGGCATATCTTGGGGTGGCATAGTTGCCCCATCGGGAGAAATTGACTGTACTAGGGCATATCTTGGGGTGGCATAGTTGCCCCATCGGGAGAAATTGACTGTACTAGGGCATATCTCGAGGTGGTAGTACATTTAGCTTCAATATGGGAGGAATAGTCCTCCTTACCATACTCTTTTCAGTTGGTTTCCACGAGTCGCATCATCTGCGGCTGTTAAGACAATATGATAGATTGGGAGCTCATCCGGTATGCTACTAATACGGATAATAAGCCTACTCCTGGTTATGCCTTCAATGATCTCATTACCAACATCAGAGAGAATCCCCAAGGGGTCCCTGATGTGGCGGCCTACTTGGCTGAGTGTGTAGCTGGTGATCACGCTCATGTAAAACTGAAAGCATTGTTATGCATGAAACACTTGGCGAATAGAGTGCCTCCCTTCCGCATACAATTGCGATCCTATGCTGCTGTTATAGAGCAGCTACTCAATTCACTGGGC